TTTTTTTCAATTTTCATTTGAGCTTTATTATTGGCCTGCATCGAATTGAAAATAAATTTACACAAACGGGAAATTTATCAATCGTAGAGGTAACAGAAATATCTTTGTTCTACCTGTCTTTTCGGCCTTCAATGACAAAGAAATTAACGCTAAAGAAAATTTCGATTTTGTAGTGAAGTGACTAAGACACGGAGAGCTACTAGTCTCTTTCGGGAGGAGAGCAAGGGGCTTTCATCTGCGACCTATCGACAAACTGTACGTCCTCGATCTCAACCTCGACTGGATCTTCACAAGCGATGTGGCCCTTAGGATGACTGCCCATGTATGATGCATCATCTCTCTCAGCACGTAGATTGAAATCGTTCGTCACCCGTCCAAACACACGAACCTTGCTCTTCACATGGCTTTTGTTTACGTACAAGGATTCGTCATACACCTCATAATTGTACTTTTCATCAGGGTAGTACAGGATCGAGCCCTCTGGCAGCTTCTGGCCCAACACACACAGAGGGAGCTTCTCCAGGACCGACGCCATGCGCGTCGCGTCGAGTGTACCCTGCGCGGCCATTTCCGTCTTCTCGTCCTGATCATGCTCGTAATAATCAAGTTGAAATAGCATCGGCTTCCCCTTCATGGCTTTAATGACATTCTTCTTCTCTTGTTGAGTGAGGGTGCCGGTGACGGCCATCCTGATGATCATCGACCCCCCATCCAGATAGAGATCATCTTCTTCCTCCCCAGCAGGGATGCGGAGCTTCAGGACGGTGGGCTCGCCGGCCTCTTCAATCGCGTCGACCCGCTTCTGCTGGCTCTTCCACGCCTGGTGAGCTTCGCTCAGGGCCTTCTTGGCCTCGAGCTTGGCCTCCTCAAAGGGGAGCACGGGGTGTTTTCCGCCGGTACACTTGTCGTCCGGGTGCTTCCAGCACTCCGTGCACCACGACGATCTGAAATCAGGAGAGGCCACTGGCGTAAGAAAAAGCACACACTTCAGCCCTTGCGTTGGCACTTGGCGATACTAAAACGAATTCTTACTCATCAGCTGGGTTGCTTGGTCGAGTTGACTTCTTAGGAGGAGGACCTGATGACCCCGTAGATGACGAAGAACCGGCCGATGCGGCGCGCTTCGGCTTGGGACCCATCCTGAAGCAATTATCAGCAATGCACGACACGAACCTGTACAAAGAGTAGAATGTTGTAACATAATGATTTGCGTCGACAGGGGACAATTAGATATGGTAAAGCCCAATCAGCACGCCGCACACTTTTCCAGTTCGTCTGTAGAGCTTAAATCTTAAATTCGAGTACGCCGACTCTACTTTCATGCCAGAACACTTAAAATTTAAAGGGGATTTCTATAAGTCGACAGAACATATACCAGGTGGCTGATAAAAACCTCGCACTTCTATTCTCTGGTTATGCGGTTCCTCATTCGCGGGCAGATGCCTATTCGCTCGGCTCGTAAGGCGCCGTGGGCAGGGGCGATAGGCAACTCCCGCCCGGTACATCATAACTATACAGGTTAATCAGCCACCTGGTACAGTATTATAGGAAGTATATAAGGTGGGTGGGTAGTTGTGTAATAGGGGTAAAAAAACAAACATGTGAAAGAAATATTTATTTGGACCTCTCTTTGGCCTGCATAAACAAAGAAAAATACAAAAACAAGAATTCGACTGCATGGTGAAATAATAAAAAGGGTGGTTCACAGAGCTACCACCTGGAACAAGTATTCCTCCCGGGTGGAGAGCAGCGGGCCTTCATCTGCGAACCATCGACAAACTGCACGTCCTCGACTTCAACATCGACAGGTTCTTCAGGAGCGGGGCCGTACTTGCGGCGATTCCAATAGAAAACATCCCTCTGAGCACGCAGATAAAAGTCGTTCGTCACTCGTCCGAAGACACGAACCTTGAGCTGCACATGACGCTTGTTTATAACACAGGGACTGTCGTACACCTTCCAAACGCACTTTGGATCATGCTGGTACAGGATCGTGCCCGCGGGAAGCTGCTGGCCGACCACACACAGAGGGAGCTTCTCCAGGACCGAAGCCATGCACATCTTGTCGAGACGACCCGTCACGGCCTCTACTTCCTTGTCGCTCTCCTCAAGCGCGATCGCATCCAGTTCAAATACCAACGACTGCTCATTTATGGCTTCGATGACTCGCGCCTTCTCTTCTTCAGTGAGTGCGCCAGTGACGGCCATCCTGATCATCATCGAGCCCCCTGCCACATAAAGTGCCCCTTCTCCCTCAGCAGAAGGGATGCTGAGCTTTAAGACTGTCGGCTCGCCCGCCTCCTCGATCGCGTTGAGCCTTTTCTGCCGGGTCTCCAACGCCAGGTGTGCGTCGCCCACGGCATTCCTCGCCTCAGTCTTGGCGTCCTGTAAGGGTAGTAGGCGGTGCTCGTCCCCGGAACACTTTTCGTCCGGGTGCTTCCAGCACAGCGTGCACCACGACGATCTGAAAACAAAAAGGGTCAAAGTCAGCAGGAAAAAACAAAAAAACGTACATGATGCATGTGCATATCGGACAACATTGAAACAATGTCTTACACGTCAGCTGCTGGGCTGCTCGGTCGTGCTGCCTTCTGGGGAGGCTCCGACGAAGACAGCGTAGATGACACAGACGATGCTCGCTTACTGCTTGCTGTCCATCCTGCTGAAGCGATGAACCGCAGTGCACGACACGAACCTGTGCGAGTGGTAGAATATTGCAACACTATAGTGGGAGTCGACACGACAGGCTAAAGTAAAACAAGGATCGGCGCAAGGGAGGCGCCCAGCCCGCTGCAATCAGCACCCATGACAATCGAAAAACTAATGTCGGACAGTTATTGCAAGTCCTGGTTTCGAATCCTAGCCACCAGCCACCCAAGTCCCGCTGCCGCTCCGGCACGGTTTAAGGGGGAGAAAGGGGAGGGAGGGGAGGTGGCTGTGCTATGTCGCCTCTATGGTAAGCCGCAACAAAGGTAGGCAATATGTGCTGCAAAACCCTGGTTTGCCTCTTCACCCTCCCAGCCCTCGGTTCCTAATGTCCCCGTGCGAGTAGGCTACCCACACGCGGTACTCAAGTGCACGGCATGGGTCGGCATCCAGGTGTGTAGGCAAACCCCCCCCCCCCCCTTTTCGGTTCAGAGGACAGCCGGGTCTGATACCGCGCCTGCTTCCGCTGCCCCCGCGTGTACATTGAGCCAGTCGGTTCACCTAGTACAAACTTTTAAAGGTATCTTAACGTTCAGCTCCAGCAGAAGCAGAAATTAACGGTCTTGCCTGCACAGCGCACTACGAATTCAAAAGTAAATTTACCGTGATTATAGGCCTCTAATTTGTGTTATTTCAAAATAATGTAGAGAGAGATCGTCCCCAAAAAATGCCGATGGCACAGTATGATATTTGAGGAAAGTGTTGTAATACAATAATTTTTGATAGGAGGCAGAAATGAAGGAAAAATGCAAAAGTAAGCGGTAACAAAGTTTTTTATTTGCCGTGACCCTTCGGCGTGCATATACAAAAATAGAAATTTACAATGAGAGATCTTTCAACTTCTAGAAAAGTGATGAATGGTTCACTGAAAGCTACCAAAGTCAATACTCCCTCTCGGGCGGAGAGCAGTGGGCCTGCATTTGAGACCTATCGACAAACTCCACGTCTTCGACCTGAACCACGATTGGTTCTTCAGAGGGGGTGTGGTACTTGGGGTTGTATTCGTATGCGTAATCTCTCTCAGTACGCAGACTGAAATCGTTCGTCACCCACCCGAACACACGGACCTTGCGACGCACCTGATCCTTGTCAATGGAACTGGGCTTGTCATACACCGCATATTTCTTTAGGTCTGAGTAGTACAGGATTGCATTCCCACGCAGCTTCTGCCCGTCAACACACAGCGGGAGCTTCTGAATGACCGAAGCTATGCGTGTCTCGTCTAGAGATCCCAGTGCAGCCATTTCTTCCACCGAATGCTCCGACTCCTCCGACTCCTCCGACTCACCGACATTGAACCCCACCGAATGACCCTTCAAGGCCTCAATGACTTTCTCCTTCTCTTCTACAGTGAGTGCGCCAGTGACGGCCATCCTGATCATCATGGACCCACCATCCAGATAAAGTGAATCCTCTCCCTCCGCACCAGGAATGGTGAGCTTCAAGACGGTGGGCTCGCCGGCCTCCTCGACCGTGGCGAGCTGTTGCTGCCGGGCCTCCCACGCCCGGTGTGCGTCATCCAGGGCCTTCCTGGCCTCGAGCTTGGCGTCCTGCAAGGGCAGGATGTGGTGCTTGTCCCCGGAACACTTGTCGTCCGGGTGCTTCCAGCACTGCATGCACCACGACGATCTAAAAAAAAAAAAAGGGTCAAAGTCAGTAAAAAAAAAAAACGCACAAGCATGCAACTGTTTGCGATTGGCGACATTAAAACGAGCACTTACTCGTCAGCTGGGCTGCTTGGTCGTGCTGCTTTCTGGAGAGGCTCCGAGGACGCCGGAGACGCTGCTCGCTTCTGATTGTCGTCCATCCTGAAGCGATAAGCAGCAATGCACGACGCGAACCTGTGCAAAGAGTTGAATATTACAACGCTTTGAAGGGCGTTGACAGGATAAATAGAACAAGAGTCGCCGTCAGGATCCCGCTGCCCCCGGGCCGCCGGGTTTCTTTCAATCAGTGCGCCTCAAAACGACTTTCCACTTCTTTTCTGACTTAATTTGTAAATCCAGCAAGGAGTTTACTCGCTTGGCTGCACAGCAGACTAGAAATTCAAGAGGAAATACCTGCCTGCAGTGATTAGGCGTCTGATGTGTTATTTCGAAATAGAGTAGAGACTGACCAAAAATAAATGCCAATGGCACAGGGCACAGTGAGATTTGAGGAAACTGCAGTACAATAGTATTTGGTATAAGGCAGGAATGAAGAGAAAAAGCCACATTATGAGGTAAAAGAAAACTTTTTATTTTCACTGCCCCTTTGGCAAACTTAAAAATAAATTTACAATAAGAATAATTTGAATTCCTGGATAATGATGAAAGCATCGTTCACGGAGAGCTACTTAAATCTCTTGGGCGGAGAAAGTAGGCCTCCATATACGGCCTAATCGACAAACTGAACGTCTTCGATCTCAATCTCGACTGGATCTTCAGAGGGGGCGTCACCCTTCATAAAATAATCGCAGCACTCATATCTGAAAGCACGGAGACTGAAATCGTTCGTCACTCGCCCAAACACACGAACCTTGCGACGCACCTGTGCCTTGCCTATGGAACAGGGCTTGTCATACACCTCAAGGCTCTGCTCATCAGGATAGCACAGGACTGTGCACGCAGGCAGCTTCTGCCCATCCACACACAACGGAAGCTTCTGAATGACCGAGGCCATACGTGACGCGTTTACAGATCCCCGTGCAGCTACTTCTTTCTCGTTCGTATCCAATTCCATTTCAAATAACATCTTCTGCTCCTTCATGGCTTCGATGACATTCTCCTTCTCTTCTTCATTGAGTGCGAAAGTGACGGCCATCCTGATCATCATCGACCCTTCTTCCAGATACTGTCCCTCGTCTCCCGTCCCTTCCGGAATGCTGAGCTCCAGGACGGTGGGCTCGCCGGCCTCCTCGACCGCAGCTAGCCGCTCTTGCTGGGCCTCCCACGCCCGGTGTGTGTCGTCCAGGGCCTTCCTGGCCTCGAGCTTGGCGTCCTCCAAGGGGAGGACGCGGTGCTCGTCCCCGGAACACTTGTCGTCCGGGTGCTTCCAGCACTGCGTGCACCACGACGATCTGAAAACAAGAAAGGCCAAAATCAGTAACTAAAAGAAAACACATGCATTCGTTTGTACTGCATGTGCATGAGCGACACCGTGGCGACGTCAGACGAGCCCTTACCTGTCAGCTGGGCTGCTAGGTCGTGCTGACTTCTGGGGAGGCTCTGACGAAGCTGTAGACGAAGACGCGGTTCTCTTCTGTGGGCTGTCCATCCTGCAGCGATAACCGCACACACGAATCTGTACAAATATCAGCACGATATTGTAAGATTATTGTGGCGTCCAGAGAGAGGCCGGCCTCCAGGAAAACAATAAAGGGTCGTTGTGTTCTCGTGGTACAACCACGCGTCCCCTTTCGGTCCGTGTCCTGCTTCTCAGGCGCCGTCGCGGTATAAGGAGGCACAGAGAGGGGGGGGGGGCTGTCATTTCTAGTGAGCTGCTTGAAAGGTAGAAAATTTGTGCCACTAACCCCCTGTGGGTAGGCAACCCACGGTGCACCAACCCCCCGACTCCTATCAGCCGGACCTTCTACCGCGCCTGCTGCTTCTGTTTGTCCTTGTAGTGAGAACGACGACAGTGTGTTGAGCAACGGCGAGTGAGGGCCGGAACGCATCTCAATTGAACCTCTGTGGACAGCGCCTGAGCACAGTACGGGCGGCCTGTGCTAGGGCAGACCGAGCCCTGACTGGGTCGGGGTAAATGATGACCCTGCCCTGCTCCTATCTGTGGCCGAGGGGCGGGGTGGGGTGGGGCGGGGCGGGGTGTTCTGCTCATTGTGCGGGGCGAGGCGGGATGCGTCCCTTATCAACCAGCAGGCAAGTAGTGGTGCGTGACCCGGGCTCCCTCCCCCAGAACCCCAAGGACCACCCCCGAGCCCCGCCCCGAGTCACGCCCCGTCCCCCAGAACCCCAAGGACCACCCCCGAGCCCCGCCCCGAGCAGCGACGAGAGCGAACGGCAGCAGCAACGCGGAGGTGTCGGCGAAAAATGATGTGTGGCCGGCGGCGGTGGTGCCGAGGACCCGCGGGGGCGGAACCAGGACGCGGGCACATGTGGGGGAGGGGGTTACACACTGGCTGCTGCCTGCTCCAGCCGGAAGGTGCTGACAGGACGCGGGGGTGCGGGGAGAGAGGGAGTGAGTAGGCTGCGAGTACGGTTAAAAACAAACGAACACAATGGCAAAGCCGAGACACCCGCCCGCATACCACACACTCATTCCTAGGGG